GATTCCTAATAGTAGCAAAATTAGTCTGGTGGCTCACCACAGTATGAGATCTGTACTAAAGGGTTGCAGCATTAGGAAGTTTGAGAACCACAGATCTAAGCTAATCAAGTTCAAGCAGAGGCTGTTTTTTGATACCAGATTTAGAGGTTTTCCCTGGTTCCCTAGCATTTTGCAGTGGCTTCTCTCCCTGTTTCTCTCTGACAACTTAGTTGGTCTATTGATCTAAAGATGCAGCTCTCTTTTAAGAGAAGCCACCAGCCTCCTTTTATTTGCTTGCTATCAAAATCTCTACTATTTTGGGAGAGAACTAAAACGGGAGATTATCAACAGTTGTCTTCAAATAAGAACAGTTCCTTTAGGGAGAGCTTCCCAGCTCTCTGTTCTTTGACAAAATCTGTGCATTATTACTATGGCCACTGGAGGCATGGTGGTCTCTGGTCTTTTCAATTTGTCATGTCTAGCATGGTCCTTCAAGTGATCTCAGGTACCGGTGATGCAGCCCAATATTTTCAGCCTTCTAATCTTAGAGTATAGCCTCCACTTTAGGTTTGAAGGCTAGAGGAAGGAAATGTCCTACTTCTCAGACTCACTTACATGGACTTTAGTCGCCTTTACTCAGAGTTGGTAGCATGCCCATTTGGGTGAAATGTATCTCTTTGCCAGGCACTGAGGGATTTGGAGATCTTTTGTTTGGTGTTATTTTCATGGCATGTGGTGCCTGCGAAACTGATCTGTGAAGAAAAGGGAGAAGAGTATCGTAGATGGGCTCAAATGCCACAAACTCTCCCTTCCCTTCATCATTTTTCTACGTCTCCATCAACCAATGTTTCTCGGTTTTATTCCATTAGAACTACTTCTAGAGCTCTGAATGGCTCTTGTGTTACTTACGTGTGATTTGCTGGAGAGTGAGAACAATGAACATCTCTTGCCACCAGCGTGAAAGTAGAACTTGCCACCAATTTCTTGGTTTCCTGATGTATGTACATAAATGTACGTGTGTGTGTGTGTGTGTGTGTGTGTGTGTGTGTGTGTGTGTGTGTAAGAGAAGTGCAAAGAGAAGGGAGAGCACATGTGTATCATGGAGTACAGACAAGGGTGTTGGATCACTCAGAGCTCGATTACAGGCATTTTCTGGACACCCAGTGTGTTAACTGGGTTCTGTGAGCTGAACTATGGGACTCTGATTCTGTAGCAAGCAATCTCAAGCACTGAACTATCTTTTCAGCCCCACTATTTGCTTTGTAAGTCTATATGTGCCCTTGCCTGATCTGATCCCAATTTTTCTTACCACTTTTATGTTGTCCCAATTAGAAGCTGTGTTGCAGGATAGGATTCACTTAACATGTAAATATCAGTTGCCTTTCTTGAGAATTAAGTGAAACTGTATATACCAAGTACACAGCAAGGTACCTGATACTATATTAGCTTTATACATCTTCTACCTTTTTAATGAAGGGAATCTTATAAGTAACATTAGAGAACCCTTTAATCATTTCAAATGTGTTACATGGCGATTTTAGATTCTCTATGATTTTAAGAATTTTAAGACCCTGTTGGCTTGGCTTTGAATTTCTTTCTTCTGACTTATTTACATGAACGAGATGAGATTATATTAAAATGCTTGAGTTCTCCCTCAGTTGTGCTTTGGATATAATCTCTGCTATTTTGCAAGCATATATTGATCACTCATGACATAGGAGATAGAAAGCGTAGTTGAATGAAATGCACAGAAAATCCAGATTTAAGTCTCGCTTTGAAATACAGCCATCAGTGGATTTCTCTTTGCCTTCTCAAGCAGTCATGCTCAGGTGAACTTCTCCCTTTGGGACTGTAGGTGGCAATATCAAACCAGAAATGCTCACATGCAACTGTTGGCCACAAGAATGCATTCAGCCTTCAAATTGGATGATTACATACAGAAGCCTGTTTTAAAATGTGGCGAAGTGTTTCCTGAATTTGACTATGTAATCAGACACCAGCTTTGCCCAGTCCCCATATTTACATATATTTGAATGACTGCCTCTGTTTTCTGTGATCCCCTGGGTGAGGTCTTCTGGGATTTCCCCTCTCTCTCCCCTGCTGACTTGCTAAGGTACCTTTTCTGGCTCTTCTTGGGAATAACTGCTCCCTTACAGAAATACCCACTTGTTCCCCGTGCTTTGCTATAGCACCTGTCCGTCCTTTCCACGAGGGAGAGGATTAAAAGAGAGAGCCAAGAGAGGAGAGAGTGTGCACTAACACAGATCTGGAGCTCATTTCCATTACCGTTGTAGTGACAGCCGTAGATACCTCGTATACTTGTCTCCTCGTTAATTTCCCTCACCTCCTGTTTACCAGGTTGCTAGCAATGATGACTTTAAGAAAACCCCCAGAGAACGAGCCATTTGCTCTGTGGACAAGAAAGACAGGAAACAGTTGTAAGCCTCAGTTATGTTTTTGTTTGTGTCGTTGAAGAGTCTGGACTAACTAGTTACACACAAAAAATGGTGAGACGAAAAAGCAGACAAATCATGTTTGGTGGTGGTGTGTGTGCCTGTAATCCCAATATTTGGGAGGTAAAGGCAGGAGAATGTGCTACAGGAGACTGTTTCAAAAAAAAAAAAAAAAAAAAAAACAGAAGCAGATCGTCTAATATTGGGGACTGGAAAAGGGAGAGAGGAAAATAGGGATAGTTCACCCCAGAGAAAGCAGCGACCTTGTGATTTTTCCACTGGCTAGAAGTCAGAGTTTCCCATTCCTCATGCCAGGGTACCACAATTCCACAGAAAGGCTGTTGTGGAAGGGTTAGGATGGAGTGGAGGAATCTTTGAACCTCTGTTAGGTTAGGGTTGTGTTCATTCAAGTTAAAATATGCACAGCGATTCCACAGAAGCATTTTTTTTGACATTTCAAAGTGTGTGTGTGTGTGTGTGTGTGTGTGTGTGTGTGTGTGTGTGATA